GACAATGGCGTGCCATTATCTTTGCTAGTTGTGACTGGGACAGTTTTCCACTACAAAATAGTCGTTTTTATTTTTTAACACCCGCCAGGTTGTACCCGAATCGTCATTGGCAATAATTTATCGCTAAGATTTCACTCTTGAGTTGTTGGTCTGTGTGGAGGAAAACTCAATGATTGCCACTTAGTTAGGACTGAGCACTTATTCCTGAGCGATACTGCTTACCGTTCTCATTTCTTTTGACGTATACTCACAGTTGAGCAGCCTTTTTGAATTTGGCGCTGTACCAAAACCCCATTAGTGCTAAGCAACTTCCTCCTTACCCAAACTCATGCAGATGCTTTAAAGCTGCTTTTATTTAAGGTGAATATAAAGTTACATCAATATTCGGTCTTTAGTTTAATGACACAATCAGTTGTGGTTTGGGCATAGCGTATCCGAAGCGAAGTCCGAATATAACGAGATAGGTAGATTTTTCGTACATCTCAGCAAACACTATATGATATTTGGAAAAGTGAGCGCGATAAACCACAACGGGGAAGTCAATTGCTGGAATGGAGTCAGCCATGAATGCCGAGTTGTGGAATGTGAGCCTACAAGAGCAATAACGAAAAATGCGGAAGACGTCTTGAAAGTGGGGATGTTGTAGGATGTCTGAGGACAGCAGCACATTTTCCAACTGTGGACTAAGTAAAACGACATCGCACTTGCTGTTAAAGACCATGGCTAGCTCCGGTGTATACACGTTTGGTAGGTCTAAAACCATGGACGCCCATTGCAGGGATTCCGAGTCATGTTGCTGCTCCATAGCCTTGGCACCAAATGAAGAGCGCCTGTGCGCGACATCAAAATGAATGCTTTAAACAGAATTCTGGGACTTGATTAAACACCGCAAATAGGATGTTAAGAAAGTCTACAAAATTTTAAGAATTTGATTAATAAAATATTTTGGAAGTTGCATACAACTCCCCAAAAATGATACCAAATTACCCATTTCGGGGGTACAGTTTCGATTCTACGCAAGTATTTAGTTACACGAATAAATATTTCTTTACCCACGGTGAATCAAACGCGCTTTAATTGCTACTTAAAACTTTTTAGTAGTGTCGCATGCTTCTGCTGATCAATAGACTGGTCCCGATATTTTACACATTGAAAGGCATTTCTTTTACTAAAAGCCTCTTATGGGCTGGAGTTTCCTGCTATGTGCTTCATTAAGTCTCGCTTTCATCAAAGGCGATGACTAACATTTTTAGTGTTCCCTTGTGTCCGCATAAATGCCCTACTGTGGTTTCTCTCTGTTTGTACTTTCCACTTTCCAGCCCTTATTTCATTAAATGGGTTGCTTCAAGGTGAAATTAGCGGTGCTCGTGAATGTCCCTTCATATTCCACAAGTATTCACTGTTACCTTGCGAAGTGTATAATCTGTAAGAACCTTTTCGACGCCTTTGATAATTATTATCACGGCATTTTTTATGCATCCTGCAGCGCATTAATGCCCTAAAAAAGTGAGTTTACCGATCGAGATTGACAGACCGCAGTTAATGACTGTTTGACGAGAAATTAAGATGAACATGAATTAGTTGTTTCGAGACACTCACAGCGTTGGGGCGAAACAGATTCGGTCCGATTTATCTATGGCTGACTAATAAGATCAAATCATGGCAAATAGGTTGCGTCTCAACAAAACTACTTTTATATTCCAATCTTCGAGTCAAACAGAAACCAACAGAAGGCTTAGTTTTACGGATTATGTGCAAGATTCAACAGCGTTTATTCGCTTTAGGTGCCAGATTAAAACACCACGACCCATTTTTCTAAGGTACCACTTTCCTATCTCATCACTAGGTCTCAAAATGAAGGAAGCATTTTTCTTATGACACTTTTCTATTATAATTCGCATCCTGTAAACAGCAGATTGTAGGGCTACTCGTAGACGGAGCTCTTCTATATGTCCAATGAGACATGTGTAACTTGGGTTGCTGCAGTAGTAAACTAAGGTTCACGTAACATTTACTCTCGAAAGTGCGATTTTAACGTTAACGCTTGAATTGGGATCAGTAAGTCCTCCTCCACACATGTTCCCAACTCGATTGTCGCTCTCGGCCCAAGCAGAGTCGGTAGTTGCGCACAACTGGCTTTCGTTTTGTTGAAAGGTGCTCTCACCAAAAACGGGAAGCTACGACCTATCCCTTTGCTCAAGTTACATTGCTGCACTGAGACTAGGAAGTTGGAAGGAAAAAGTTAGAGTTGAGAACAACTTTTCCAAGATTAAGTAAATGGCTGATTGTCTCGGTCAAAGTACTCTTTTATAAAATGAGGATATTACAGGACGTCAGTCCATCTTTATTTTTTAAAACCTCAAAACCAATGCTTGTCCGAAACTCCCCACATGTCGCGAGAGAAAAGGTAGATCAAGAGAACGCACCTAATGTTATGTCAGGGGTCAATTTGCAGCCTGCGGAATATGTAGAGATGACCTCGCCAAGTGTCAAAGAAAATCTGTCAGAAGCCGAGGATCCTGCTATCATGGCCCACCCGGTCTTACGTTTTAAATAAGGCGTACACAAGGGAAGGAAGACCTTTGTGGTTTGTGGGGATAGACTTACCTCTAAACGCTCTTCTGTGACAAACTGGCATGAAGTTGGCTCTTATCATTTGGCTTTAGGCCGGCAAAAAGTCCATCAACACCATTTTCGAACCCCCAAAATTAGAGAAGAG